AACGTAAGAGCCACAGATGTTTGAGTGCCGCAGGAAATGAACAGATATTACATGTTTTTTATTGGAAAATATGCAAATCTGCTTTTTATTAACATTATAAATGAGACTGCCAAAAATAATAACGAAGAGGTAAAAGCAGATATTGATAATATTTATTTGTCCAATAATATTTGTTTGCTGCTAATAATAATAATAAGAAGAAGAAGAAGAAATTGGATTTATACCGGATTTATACCCCGCCCTTCACTTGGAGTCTCAGAGCGGCTTACAAACTCCTTTCCTTCCCCCCCACAACAGACCCCCTGTGAGGTGAGTGGGGCTGAGTGACAGAAACTGCTCTTTTTCAAGGACAGCTGTTATCAGAACTATGGCTGCTCAAGGTCATCCAGCCAGGTGCAAGTGGAGGAGTGGGGAATCAAACCTGGTTCTCCCAGATTAGAGTCCACGCACTTAACCAGTACACCAAACTGGTAAATAATATTTAGCTTCCCCAGCCACCCTGCCCGGGAGCTGCACAATATGCGTGAAAGAGTCGCATGCGGCTCCGGAGCCACAGTTTGGCCACCCCTGATTTAGGAGGTCAGTGCTCATACCGAAATTTCCTCCACATTCTGAGCATTCATATGGTTCATCTCCTTCTATGTGTACCCTTCTATGCCGTACACTATCTGAGTGACTTTGGAAGCTCTTCCCACATTTGTATGGCTTTTCTCCCATGTGGATCCTGTTTTAGAGTGTGTTTCCTGACACAAAATAATTTGTTCGGCTATTTTCCAAGTGCAGTATTTCAAGTCACTTTTTGACAGGTTCTGAGCTCTTCTTCCACCTCTTTGGCTCTTTTCCAAAGGCATTCTGTTAGAGTCCGTTTGCTCAAAATTATTCCACAGTGCTTGTCCCTCACCAACTGCAGTAAAAGAGAACCATGACATGAGTCTTTCAGCCAGCACCACGTGACCTAAACCTAAACAGCATGATAAAAAGCAGAGACATCACCCTGCCAACAAAAGTCTGCATGGTCAAAGCAATGGTATTCCCAGTAGTCATGTATGGCTGCGAGAGTTGGACTATAAGGAAAGCCGAGCACCAAAGAATAGATTCTTTTGAACTATGGTGCTGGAGAAGACTCTTGAGAGTCCCTTGGACTGCAAGGAGATCAAATCAGTCAATCCTAAAAGAAATCAACCCTGACTGTTCCCTGGAAGGCCAGATAATGAAACTGAAGCTCAAATACTTTGGCCACCAAATGAGAAGGGAGCACTCACTGGAGAAGACCCTGAGGCTGGGAAAGATTGAAGGTCAAAGAAGACGGGGACGGCAAAGATGATTAGACAGTGTCATAGATGCAATGGACATGAAATTGAGCGGGCTTCGGAGGACGGCAGAAGACAGGAGGGCCTGGCATGATCTTGTCCATGGGGTTGCGAAGAGTCGGACTTGACTGTGCGACTGAACAATAACAAATCTGAAGGACAGTCTTCTCCCATAGGTTCCTGCCTGGGAATTAAGATCACAGAGAGAGGCCCTCCTGTCCCATCAATCACAGAAGTTCATTTAGAGGTAGGGTACCAGGCCTTCAAGCAGGGGATACCCCATCCCTGCCTCCTTCACTGCTGATCAGCTGGCTAGTGGAGGGACTTACCAGAAGCAGGAGGGAAGCCCAGGCTACGTTGCCCGCAACATGGTGACGTTACCTCTGGCATGTACCGGAAGTGAAGTCAGTGTGTTGGTGACATCCAGGCAATGCTTGGAATTAGGGCAAAAACTCTAAGCCATTTCTACCATAGAGTTTTTGCCCAAATACCAGAGCATCGCTAGTACATCCCAACACTGGCAATCAGTTGTGTCACTTCCGGGTGACGTCATCGCGTCAGGGACATTGTGTGACATCCCCGCACACCCATGGAACGCCCCCCAAATCCCCCCCCGCTGAATAGATGAGGGCACCTGGGAACCCTAAATGTTTTAAATAAATAACTCCTTTGTTACACTCACACAATCCTGTGAGGAAGGTTTTGGCTGGCTATATCCAGGGGTCATTTCCAGCAGGAGCGCACAGGAGTGGAGCTCCGGCAGTAAAGAGCCCAGGGGGCGGGCACATGCAACAAGCCCCACCCCCTGCTCCCAGCAGCACTCAGTCAGAGCAAGAAGCAGCCAGGTAAGTTGCAGAGCCCCCCCCCGCCCCCCCGGCCCAAAACAGTCCAGTGGCACCTTTAAGATCAGGTTTTATTCAGGTACAAGCTCTCCCTCCTCTGTGAGGGACAGATCTGCACGTCCCCCCCCCCCCAATAGCTAGCAATCCAAAACAGTCCAGCGGAGCCTGAGCGGTGGGTGTTGCCTTCTGACACACTTCCGGTGAGGTCAGAGGGTGTGGCATATGCAAATAAGTTATGCTAATGAGTTATGCTAATGAGCTCCTGCCCCCCTTTTTCTACGAAATGACCCCTGCCTGGGCGTGTAAGAAGAGTAAGCAGTCCTTCCTGTATGTTGGTCCCAAACCACATATGGCTTCTACGGTCAGCACTAGCACCTTGAATTGTGCTCGGAAATACTGGGAGCCAGTGTAGATGGGCCGAGACTGGAGAGATTATGATCCCTGTGACTCACTTCAGTCGACATCCTGGCTGCAGCAACTAAAGGGCATCCAATGAAGTTGACGGGCAGTTCAGGACAGACAAAAGGAAATCTTTCTTTACACAGCGAGTGATTAAAATGTGGGATTCGCTGCCAGAGGATGTAGTGATGGACACAGGAATAAACAGCTTTAAAAGGGAATTAGACAGATTCATGGAGAAGTCTATCAGTGGCTACACTAGCCATGGCGACACTAAACCTCTGAATCCCGGAGCCAGGAGGCAACACCAGGGGAAGGCCTCGGCCTCTGTTGGCCCTGCAGAGGAACTGGTTGGCCACTATGTGAGACAGGAGGCTGAACTAGGTGAACTATTGGTTTGATCCAGCAGGGCTCTTCTTGTGTTTTTAAATTTCCAAACACTTCTCAAAGGCAGCTCCATAAGAGTGCATTATGGTAATCTAATCTAGATGTATTTATCACATCACACCTTTGGTGATTAACTGCCTTAGGGGTTCACAGAGAGTAAAAGAAGGAAAAAATCGGGAGGGAAGATAAGTTAACAACAGAGGAGGAAAGGTGGTCAGAGCTTCTTACTTCCTTGTGTCTTTGCTGATAATCTTCCTCCAGCTTTTTCTACTGAGATGTGACAGACCTTCAGAGATTTCAAGTCAGAGCCAAATTAGACATGATGGCTTCCTCATTTCCGACGGGGATGCTGACGCCATTTTAAACCCCAAAATAGGTGAACTAAAAATGCCAGGAGGGCTCGATCCTAACAATATCACCCTAAAAAAATTGCATTCTTATAACTAGTGACAGGCAGCTTCTACTGTATGGCTTGTAATTATATTCATGTATTTGCTGTTTGCGATGCGTGTTTTAAATATATTTTTAAGCTATTGTGTTCCACCACTGGAAGTTTGGAGGGTGGGATACAATTTTTTATGTCAAATAATAAGACTGCATGTGGAAGAGAATCAAGGCTGAGAGACTGAGAGAAGGAGGATAGCTTTCCAAAGGCAATCCCCTTGCAAATATTAGGTAGGAAAGAATACAGTGGTATATGACACACCAACAGCCTGCCAATATCCAGGGCCTGGACTTCTCCCATAAGTATAGCGGATCCCTAGAGAACAGAGATCAGTTTCCCTGGAGAAAATGGCAGCTTCAGAGAGTGGACTCGATGGTATACCATAGATATTCTAGGTAAAAGTAAAGGTTTCCCTTGCTCGAAAGCCAGTTGAATCCGACTCTAGGGTTGCGGTGCTCATCTCCGTTTCAAAGCCGAAGAGTCAGCGCTGTCCGAAGACGTTTCCGTGGTCATGTGGCCGGCATGACTAAACACCAAGGCGCACAGAACACTGTTACCTTCCCACTGAAGTGGTACCTATTTATCTACTTGCAATTTCTTGCTTTCGAACTGCTAGGTTGGCAGGAGCTGGAACTAGAGACGGGAGCTCACTCCATCATGCAGCGCACTCGGGTCTCAAACTGCTGAACTACCGACCTTCCACAGCCTGCAGTTCAGCGTCTTAACCACTTGAGCCACCGGAGCTCCACGATGTACTATAACTAAGGACAGCAATTGCCCATATGCCTCTAGATTCTTGGTGAAGTACCTCCCCAAATCCTCCCTCCAGAGGCTGTCTTGTGCCGCTCCCTGAAGCCTGGAAAAAACTGAGGCAAACATATATGGATGAAACTGAAGATCCTCTGCACATGCGCAGAGTACCTTTCCAAAATTCAATCCCCGAGTAAGCACAAAACGGCTCTCGACCACTTTCCTCTGCTGCTGTCTCTCCCTGTTCTCATTTCGCTGCAAAGTCCGATTTATCGCGCTTTTTAGATGCGGGGTGAGGTGATAAAAAGTTAAAATCAAGACAGGAAAAAGAATGCCTGTGGACAACACGCGAGAAGCGCGCGCACCTTGAACCCACAATCGCCAGCCCTCCCATTTTCCGCGGCCATTTCTGCCACGCTCGGCAGGGCTGGAAGCCTGCCGCGATGAAAGCAAGAAAGCCTCTGAACATGTGCAGAGTGCCTTTACACACTCGACCCCCTAAGCTTCACGGCTGGGGGCATTTCAGCGTCCAGAGAAAGTTTCAAAGCAGACTGAAAACTCTTGCAAACTTCTCGTTTTGGAACCGAGTCGTTCCTTCGCCCTCGCTCCTTTCCTTTGCTCGGGCAAACCAAAAAAATAAGGGGGGGGGAGGAAAACCCCCCAAACAACCAACAAACAGTCGCTCCTTTCCCCCCCCTTTGCTTGTCATTTGAGGGGGTTAAAGTGACAGAGCCGTGACTCCTAGAAGTGCCCGGAAATGTGAATGGTGCTGAGTTTCCTTTTCCTGTCTTTGCTTCTTGGCTTGGGTGGGAGGAAGCTTCAGCTGTAGCTGTAGAAGATTTTTAAAAAAATTTTTGGTGTGGTTGGGGTGGATTGCCAAAAACTTGGGCATTACCGGGCTTGCAGATTTGCACCGGCTGCAGTCGGGAAGAGGCGAGGTAAGAGGAGACGGGACGTGGGCGGGAGAGATCTAAAGGGAAGGGGGAAAAACAGGAAAGGGGGTCAGATCGCAGGGGGCGAAAGTCCTGCTCGGGGGGAGGGGGGGGGTGTCCGAGCAAAGAAGCAATGCCTCCCTCCCGCCCCCCCGCCGCAGCCCGGTCAAAAGGGAACCCTTGATCTATGCACACTCCCCTTTCTCATTCCTTTCAAGCCGGGAGCGAAGATTTGCTCCAGGAGATGCCCAGATGCAAAGGAACAAAGGGAAGGCGCTCAGGATGCAGCCAGTGGCCGCGGATGGACATCTAGAAAGCTTGTGTTGGCCGAGAAACTGCCCATACTTCGAAGAACCCCTTCCCCCCCGCAAAAAAAGCATGACTGCGGAACGACTTCGGCGCAAGGCTGTGAGGATTGACAGAAGAGTTGGGCTGATGGGTGGCGGGTTGGCTTCTTGGATGCAAAACCCCCCCCCCATGTTATTCCCTCCCGGCTACTGATGTTGTTCCGTCCAGTTTATTGCCTCCCTGTAGGGACGACATCTATTTCCTGCCCCCTCTTTTTTTGCGCTCCCGTGTGCTCCTGTCACTCCCCATTTCCGTCCTAATTTATGAGCCCCAGGTGTGGAGAAAAGTGCATGTCCTGCGGGGTGCAGAGGAAAGTAATTTCCCCCCCTGGTGAAGGTTTGCGATTGCAGAACACCTTTGGTTATGCCATCAGATGGGCTAGAACTGCTTTGTTCGCTTAGCACCTGTATTCCTAATTCCTTTCTGTGGAATGTTTGCCTCCCTTTCTCGGCTTGCATGGATTTCTCTGGGATTCCTTAGTCTGAGGTAGTACATCTTTTGCGTCTTGGGGACTTTAAGGATCTCGGTGTCACATTTTTATCCTGCTTATGGAGCTCAGGGTGGCATATCCGGTTCTCCTTTCCTTAGTTTGTCCTCACAACAACCCTGTGAGGGAGGATAGGCTGAGAGTATGCGGCTGGCCAAAGGCCACTCAGCAAGCTTCCATGGCAGAGTGGGGATTTTGAACCCAGATTTCCTAGTCCAGTGCTAACCACTCTGCCATACTGGCTGCCATGAAGGGCCCAGATGTGTCAGAACAGACGTTTATCTCAACAAGCTTAGGGTATTTATATAACTAGCTCTCTTCCTGCTGGGGACATCAAATACAGGGGAAACATCAAATCTGATCAGAGCAGGAAGGCACCTGTCAAATAAAACAGAGAAACAGCAAACATAAAATATAATCACAAAAGCATCACTTGAATATGTTTCAGAATTTTTTTTTTTTTAATTAGACTTCTGTCCCACCCTCCTGGTCAAAGCCGGCTCAGGACGGCTTACATAAAACATGAAGAATTTTACAATGCACATAAAATAGGATTAAGAACAACATGTAACAATTAAACATAATATAATAAAGTGCTAGTAGCAATACATTCATAATCTCACAGCGGTAGTTGTTTTTAGCCCTCTTTGGAGGTCCTGAAAGAATGGTTTGAGTCTCAACTCCATGGGTGGGGAGGGAGTTCCATAGCCTGGGGGCAGCTACTAAAAAGGCCCTGCTGCATCTACCTGGCATTTTAACTTTAGATAAGGCAGGAGAGCCTCATGCATCAGTATCAAGGCTTGGGCAGGTTGATATGGCTGGAGGTGGCCCTTTGGACTTGAACCATTTCGAGCTTTAAAAAATTAAAACCTTGAATTGGTCTTGGTAACAGACTGGATTCCAGTGCACTTGGCCAAAGGCTGTCTTGATACATTGGTTGGGCTGAGCCCCAGTTAGGGCTCTAGCAGCTGTATTATGCACCAGCTGAAATTTTCTGAACTGTCTTCAAGGGTAGCCCCACACAGAGTGTATTACAGTAGTCTAGTCTGGACGTTACAAAGGCACATGCAGTGGTGGCCAGGTCTGCTTTCCTCAGTCACAGCTGCAGCTGGGGAATGAGCCTAAGCTGGAAACAGAAATCCTGGGCAAATTCTGGAATTTGTCTCCTTGTGAATGCCAAGACACCCAGGAGTATTACCTGAGTGTTACTGAGGCTGACTCAGATTACCCTAAGTTTGCTTAGCCCTGAATTGTCTCCTGAGACTTTTCATGGCAGAGTGAGGATTTGAACCCAGATTTCCTAGTCCAGTGCTAACCACTCTGCCATACTGGCTGCCATGAAGGGCCCAGATGTGTCAGAACAGACGTTTATCTCAACAAGCTTAGGGTATTTATATAACTAGCTCTCTTCCTGCTGGGGACATCAAATACAGGGGAAACATCAAATCTGATCAGAGCAGGAAGGCACCTGTCAAATAAAACAGAGAAACAGCAAACATTAAATATAATCACACAAGCATCATTTGAATATGTTTCAGAATGTATTTATTTATTTTATTTATTAGACTTCTGTCCCACCCTCCTGGCCAAAGCCGGCTCAGGGCGGCTTACATAAAACATGAGGAATTTTTACAATGCACATAAAATAGGATTAAGAACAACATGTAACAATTAAACATAATATAATAAAGTGCTAGTAGCAATACATTCATAATCTCACAGCGGTAGTTGTTTTTAGCCCTCTTTGGAGGTCCTGAAAGAATGGTTTGAGTCTCAACTCCATGGGTGGGGAGGGAGTTCCATAGCCTGGGGGCAGCTACTAAAAAGGCCCTGCTGCATCTACCTGGCATTTTAACTTTAGATAAGGCAGGAGAGCCTCATGCATCAGTATCAAGGCTTGGGCAGGTTGATATGGCTGGAGGTGGCCCTTTGGACTTGAACCATTTCGAGCTTTAAAAAATTAAAACCTTGAATTGGTCTTGGTAACAGACTGGATTCCAGTGCACTTGGCCAAAGGCTGTCTTGATACATTGGTTGGGCTGAGCCCCAGTTAGGGCTCTAGCAGCTGTATTATGCACCAGCTGAAATTTTCTGAACTGTCTTCAAGGGTAGCCCCACACAGAGTGTATTACAGTAGTCTAGTCTGGACGTTACAAAGGCACATGCAGTGGTGGCCAGGTCTGCTTTCCTCAGTCACAGCTGCAGCTGGGGAATGAGCCTAAGCTGGAAACAGAAATCCTGGGCAAATTCTGGAATTTGTCTCCTTGTGAATGTGTTACCTGAGTGTTACTGAGGCTGACAGATGACCCTAAGTCTGCTTAGCCCTGAATTGTCTCCTGAGACTGGCAGCCAGGTTGCCAGAGGCCTAGGCAGAAAACGCTCTTTCTTAGCACATCTCCATTGTGCCGATTTTTTAACCAGTGATGGCAGGGCTTGGAGCCAGGACTTTCTGTGTGCGAATCCCCAGGCTCTTCAGCCTTTTCTCATATGAAAGGTGCTGTAACCTTTCAACTACCTTGGCTAACCCTTTTCTGTACTTTGCCTGTTAATACCTATGGGGTTTTGTTGGTGTTCAAAAGTATCATAAGATTCTTTGATGGAGTTTGCCACAAGGGACTCGAACGCCTGCCCTTCTGGAATTTGTTACAATGGAAGGGTGATTTCATCCTTGTGTGGTCATTGCTCAGGGGCTGAGGCAGCAAGCAATGACAACAATTTTGTGTGGTTCAGAACTCTCTCATCAGACACGTTCAGCATTCATATCACCTTGCATAATCTGCAGTGAAATTTCATGGACTGAGCAATGTGGTTGTATGGGAAAATAAGATCTGATGCAGGATTATATATTTATTTATTCTGACTCAGGAATTCCCACGGCATGTGCTGTCAGTGGGTAATTAAGGGCTTCTGCAAATCTGTATTAGCCACTCACAAAGGAGGCTGGTCGTTGGATCTCTGTGTGATTTACCACTCTGATCTTTCTAAAGAGACTCCACTGGGGGAGCCAGGGGGGCACTAGATAATTCCGTCACCTCCCTCCATTTGATGTGACTTGGTGATTCAGTTGCTCCTGCTACAGAGACACAGCAGAATTACCTTCTTTCATTAGAGGCTGCCAGTTGTGTCTCTTCATGAGTTGTCATTCTAGGCATGTCTTCTTCTAATCAATGCTCCTCTGAGGGAGGGATACCCTCTAAAAACCATACTTTTCAGGTGGAAGAATCAGAAAGTAAGTGTGCCCCAGATATCTGAAATTTGGGGAACAGCTACCCAAATGTCTTAGTCCTCAGTGAACCCACAACTATTGGGGGGGGGGCCCTGACAGGGCTGTTGAGAAGGGAGGACCTGGGGTGGAGAATTTTGGGAGCTGAGGGGGCAGGTAAGCTGTTCCTGAGGGATAATAACAATGTACCTGTTCAAGCATCTTGTTTGTGTTATTCTGAAGTGGGGGTAGGAAATCTTGTCTGCGGGACCTGTGGTGTCTCTTGGCGGTGCTGAGGGATTATGGTCTACTCTAGACAGTCAAATTGACCTCCCAAGGGTGCTCTTTGACTATCCCTAGGGGTGACATTTGGGTGGCTTCGGGGTGCATTGTTCCTCAGATTGCGGTCTGATACAAACCTTTGTCATATTTTTCTGTCGATGACATGATAAAATTGCATGGCTGGGGGTGGGGTGGATTTTTCACTGCTAAAATGTAGTTGCTGCAATAGAGCCACTGGCTTTACCATGAGGCCCCTTACAACTGGCAGTGACGTCTTCACGGTGCTTCATGGCACCTTCTTTCCAGTTTACATGGAGATAGATAAGTGGGTAGCCGTGACAGTCTGTCTGTAGCGGTAGAAAAGAGCAAGACTCCAGTAGTACCTTAAAGACTAACAAAATCTGTGGCAGGATATGAGTTTTCGTGAGCCAGTGAGTCGCGAGTCATACCCTGCCACAAATTTGTTGTTAGTCTTTAAGGTGCTACTGGAGTCTTGCTCTTTTCTCCTCCTTAATTAATTAATTGGGGAATGAGCTTATCGACCAAATTACCAGTGTCTCCCCCCCGGCCCCGCTCTCTGATTTCATATATACCCGCCTGTTTTGTAGTACCTCATAGAGATGTGTTGACATAGTTTATTACCCGCTTTGGATAGATTTTTCTATACCTCAGCCAACGAAGGGGTCAGATTTCATATATACCCGCCTGTTTTGTAGTGATGTCTTGACATAGAGATGTCTTGACATCGTTTATTCCCCGCTTTGGATAGATTTTTCCATACCTCAGCCAACGAAGGGGTCGTTCATGGGGATGCCAACATGAGAGTGGGCCACCCCCCAGAAGAACTGTTGTATTGCCTTATATCACCACAGGCGTAATGTTTGTTGATGGTGTCCCCGTTAATGCATTCGGCTGCCGACAAATCATTTGTAGACAAATTAAATGTGTGGTGTAGAGTGTCAAACTGTGAGCCATGTTCAGACCATATGGTGTCGGACTGCGATCTGGGTTAAAATCACAGGTGTACCATAAAGCTTTCTGGGTGACTTTGGACCAGTTACACACACACACACACACACACACACACACACACACACTCCTTCCAACCTACCTCACAGGGTTGTTGTGAGGATAAAATGGGAGCAGGGAGAGCGGTGTACACCACCATAAGGATTAAATGTGTGAATTCAATAATTAAATCCTCCCTCAGCCAGGAGGCCCACTGTGTGATTTGGGGTCAGTTACTCCCTTTTGGCCTAAATTACCTCACGGGGTTGTTGTGGGTATAAAACTGGAGACAGGGTTTGGATTCCACTCAGCCATGAAAGCTCACTGGGTGACTTTATGTCACCCTTTCTCAGTGTAACCTGCCTCAGTTGTTGTAGGTATAAAACTGGAGACAGGAAGAGAAGTGTAGACACTGTCCTGAACCCCTTTAGATAACAACAGAATAATAATTAATTTCTCTGTTCCTAAGTGTGTTGATGTTTACACACTGTATTAGAAGGGTGGAGGTCTGGTTGTGGTATTATGTGGTTAGTGTATAAGTTATATATTTAAGCAGGCACCTGAATGGCTATTTAAAATCCTGAAGAACACAGAGGCAGCTTTTTGTGGCAAAGCTGTTCACACAAAGCACAGTTCTGTCAGTTTGTAAAGTCTCCCCTCGCCTGTCATTTGCAGTGGCAAGGTGAAACCACATATCTGCCACATAGTCTCACAAACAGCTTACCATGTGGCATGGTCTCCAGGCACTTGTGTTCCCAACACAGCTTCCTGTGGCCCTGAGCAGCATACAATATTGTGGTCCTAAATTAAATATATAAATTCCACTAGTAGAAAACACCATCAAAGATTGCCAAAGCAATATATTAAACAATTATAAAGTTGGTGGTGTCACAACAACAACATTTATGCATACTGTAACTGTACTAAGGCATAAGATACAGTATTTCCTCCTTTGGAGATAGGACATAAAGTGCATGTACTCAGTGTAACTTGATAACTTGATAGGAGGAGTCCACATAGTCATAACATATTCCAAACAGCCTTTGCAAAGACGCCCATTCTAGATATTTGGAAGATGTGTTTCCTTCGTCTTCTTCAGTTTGCTGGCTGTGTAAGTGGAACTGTGAAGAGATTTACTCAAATGCCTAGCCACAAAAACACACATGCAAAACAGAATTGTTTAAAAAAACATGTCTGAAAAATACACTCACCCTGATTTCAGCAATTTCAACCGACCAAAAGGTTCATAGTGTAAGGAGCGAATCATAGGTTCTTAAGGATACAGATGAAGATGCATGCCAATTTAAAGCTCAACAGGGAGAGAAACAGGTGTATCCAATTTAGATTAGTCCCATTTAAAGGGCTCTATTTTTCTAAAATGCACATTCTATAATATTCTTTTTGTTTACAAAAAGGCTGAAAAATCAATTTCCCTGTTCAAGCCAAAAGGTTCATATGTTTATCTGTCATGTTTAATCAAAAGGAAATTTAAAAAAATAAAAACTCTATTTATGTTTATTTATTAAAATGTTTATTAAAATGTTTATAACCCTACCTCTTTCCCCTGCCACACACACATAGGAGCCCAAAGACAGTAAATGCATAAGCAATAGCTCTGAATTTTTGGCTCATTCCTGGAACATTTTTTGAAAGGAACCCATAAACCTCAGTGCCAGTTTTGTTGGCTAAGTGTACTTTTGATAGACCTCTGTAATGACTCAGTGCTTAGAGGTTTTCTGTACAGTATAAATACATTATTTTTCTCTCTCAAATGTTTTGTGTTCCCTAGGTATAGAGAAGCTCAAGAACATCCCCACTTCTTGGATATTGTCTACAAACCCCGAGACTATTTGGAGAGCATCATCCAAGTTGCTACAGCGTTAGCTGAACTATGTCACAAATCTAGATGTTTCTCCCACATTGGCAGTAGGTGACTGGAAGACAAAGATCTCATTTTGCCACTTTGAGAAGAAAGTGGGGGTGGGGCCCCCCAAGGCTATATTTCGCCCCCCCCCAAATACAGCCTACTGGCAGGTCTCCTTCTTACAGTTGCAAATCTCTGTACCCCATCATTGGCCTCTCAGTTGGCCACTGGGAGGGCCGGGCATCAGCCCTCAAGGGGCCAGACTTGGCCCAAAGGCCTCCAGTTGCTAAGCCTTAACCTGACTTCTTCCGCCAATAACAAATGGCTACCGGGAGAGGGGAAACGGCTGCCCTTCACCACCAGTTTCAAGGTGCCTCAGAGCCAGGGATGCAGCCGACAATGAAAATGGAGGGGCAGGACTCAGTGACCCATGACATTGGAGGAGGTGGAGTCCCCCGCTTCCTTCAGGCTGGGTCCATGAGGGAGTTTTTAGCTGGCGAAGCTCCTCAGCAGGTAAAACAGGAACCAGATGAAGGACCCCAGCAGCACTGGGAGACTCAGAGGCCGGAGTTTCCCAAAGCGGTGTCGTATCCTCAGGTGGGGTGGAGAAACCCTCCGCTCCACAAGTCCTTGCCGTGGGACTCTAACTCTTTTCAGACCTCCTACGAAGAAGCGTCCAACACGAGCCAGTGGCCTGCTGGAGGATGGGTGCCGCAAACCATGCCAGGCGGAGAAGCCCTGCCGGTCTATGGCAGCCAGGTTCAAAGAGAAAGAAGGAACTATGGCGGCGTGAAGGAAGAGGTCCCCCATGAGGACACCGTCAGCTTGGAGGTGCGGCGGCAGCGCTTCAGGCATCACCGCTACCAGGAGGCTGAGGGCCCTCGCGAGATTTGCCGGCAGCTCCAGGAACTTTGCCACCAGTGGCTAAAGCCGGAACGACGGACGAAGGAGCAGATCCTGGAGCTGCTGATCCTGGAGCAGTTCCTGACCATCCTGCCTCAGGAAATCCAGAACTGGGTCAGGGAACACGGCCCCGACACCTGCGCCCAAGCAGTGGCCTTGTCAGAAGATTTCCTCATGAGGCAGCGGGAGGCCCAGAGAAAAGAACAGCAGGTAGGAAACCTATTTTAGGTTGTGGATCCCCTCCCCCTTCAATTATTATAACAATCGATTTCATGCAAATCTTAGGGGAGCCGGCATGGCGTAGTGGATAGACTAGGGTCTTGGGAGATCCGGGTTGGAATCAATGCTCCCTCTAAGCTGTGGAGTCTTGTGAGCAAAAATCCTACTTTGTGAGCTACTGGCATTAAAGTTGTGAGCGAGCGATTTGGCTGCTGCATAGATTAGTTTGCTCTGGAGCCCTCCTTCCTGAGCGGAGACAGAAATGTGTGAGCTGGAGGCTAAAAAATTGTGAGCTAACTCACACTAACTCAGCTTGGAGGGAACACTGGTTGGAATCTCCATTTGTACCAGAGAAACTTGCTGGGTGACCTTGGGCCTGTCACAGACTCTCAGCCTGACCTGCCCCACAGGGTTGTTGTTGGGAGAAAATGATGGGAAAACAGAATTCTAAGCTGGCTTGAGTCCCAGCTGGGGAGAAAAGCAGGCTGTAAATAAATAAATAAATGCCAGTGAATGAAATTACCAAATGCGATGTTTACCTGGAAGGGAGGCTAGATTTTTCCACATATGCCATCAAGAAAAAGAGGCGACCATCTTAAATTTGCATACAGGTTACAGTTATGTATGGCATTTCCGTGCCTTTCTACCAATGGGGACCCAAAGCGGCTTCCACATATGCCATCAAGAAAAAGAGGCGGCCATCTTAAATTTGGATACAGGTTACACTTATGTATGGCATTTCATTTATTCGTTCACTTCATTCATACCGTGCCTTTCTACCAATGGGATCCTGGGCTGGATCTTAGGCTGTCACTCTACTACACTTTTGGTGTTTAACTTTTTTTGGGGTGGGGTGGGGAATCACATTCAGGACTATCTTTTGGGTAAATATGAGTAAAATACATTGTGGAGAGGTAGCCATGTTAGTTTGTTACAGCCAGGTGAGGTATATCAGGCTGAGAGCTACTACACTTTTGGTGTTTAACTTTTTTTTGGGGGGGTGGGGAATCATCTTACATTCAGGGCTATCATTTGGGTAAATATGAGTAATATACATTGTGGAGAGGTAGCCGTGTTAGTCTGTTACAGCCAGGTGAGGTATATCAGGCTGAGAGTTTGATGCTTGGGGGGCAACGGTGGGAGGGCTTCTGGAGTTCCGGCCCCACTGGTGGACCTCCTGATGGCACCTGAGTTTTGGTCACTGTGGGACACAGAGTGATGGACTGGATGGGCCATTGGCCTGATCCGACATGGCTTCTCTTTATGTTCTTATGAGACTCTGGTGGTGCTTTAACGACTAAAATAAGCGTAAGCAGAAACTTCCTTAAATTAGAGCTTGCCTCCGATAACTGTATGCTCAGCAGATATGCAGGAAGCTTCACTATAGCGTTGGTCCGTGTAGCTCAAATTCACCTCCTCTGGCCGGTAGCAGACCTCTGGTATCTCAGGATACTTCCTTTTTGCTTGAGCTTCTTTAACTGAGCGTGTAGTGGCTATAGTGTTGGACAAGGATCTGCAAGGCTCAGGTTCATTCAGCGTGTCCTACATTACAGGGTTGTTCAGATAAACAAGTATAACTTAGAACAGTGGGTGCTGGGAGACAAGCAACAGGGTGTTGCCTTTGTTACCTATTTGTGGGTTTCTCAGGAATATCAGTCTTTTTGTTTCCCCATTCTGTAATCTTAGTCCTATTGCATTGCTTATTGGATATCATATGCTGTAGAGAGCCAGTGTGGTGTAGTGGTTAAGAGCAACGGACTCTAATCTGAGGGACCGGGTTTGATTCCACACTCCTCCATAAGAAGTCAGCTGGGTGACCTTGGGTCAGTCACAACTCTTTCAGAGCTCTCTCAGCCCCCAAAATAAGTCTAGCTCGCCACCTAGTGTTGCATAATGCGAAAGGGCTAGAATGTAAGACTGCCAGACAATCTATAGATCTCCTGCCTATATTACACACATTGCAATATGATAATTATTAATTATTATTCTTAATTACCATATGCTGTCTGATGGAACTGTTTTCTATATTTTGTAATCTGCTTTGAGTCTTGGTAAGAAAGAAAGGTGGCCTACACATTAAGGAAAAAAGCAAATCTGCCTGCCAGAAGTAGGATGCTGGATTAGATGGAGGGACTTTGGGGAGGGGCTCAGTGGCAGAGTGTCTGCTTGGCATGCAGAAGGTCCCAGGTTCATTCCCTGGCATCTCCAGTTAAAAGCATCTCACCAGGTATTGAGAAGAATTCTCTCTATCTGCACTTCTGGACACCAGGTGCCTGAGAGAGTAGTCAAAACTGGGCCAGGTGGTTCAGCTTCCAGGATATCCAGGAGTGGAGCTATGGCTCAGTGGATAATGTTCTTGCTTTGCATGCAGAAGGTCCCTGGTTCAATCCTCAGCATCTCAAGCTAAAAGGATCAGGTGATAAGTGATGTGAAAGATCCTGGAGAGCCACTGGCAGTCTGAATAGACGATTCTGACCTTGATGGACCAAGAGTATAATGCAGTGTAAGGTGACTTCATGTGTCCATGGACCTTTGGTGTGTGGAATCTTCCTACTGAAGTTGCATGGTCAAGTTGGAAGGCACATTGAGCTTCCGCAGATGTGCGTGATCCTGTTTCCTTTTTGCCCTTTTCAGGCGATGTGGACATTTGAGGAGGTGGTCATGAACACCCCCATGGGCCAGCAGGTGCCGTACCCCACTGTGGCCCAGCAGGTCCATTACCCCACTGTGACACTGCCAGTCCAGTATCCAGCCATGGCACAACAGACCCAATATCCCGCGGTTGCGCAGCAGGCCCCCAATCCCATCTTGTCTGACCGACTGCCATTGGATGCTGGGAGGACGCTGATCTGCAGAGAACCAATCCCCGAAGGTGGGCGGAGTCTACGACCTTACGGTAAGGATTCACTGCGGCTGCCATTGGGTGATTCGAACATTCCAAGGGTGTGGTGTGGTGGAAGCTACAGCCAGTGGTGTCTTTGTTCAGCCTCTACAATATTGTCTTTGTATATTTCATACGAATGCAAGTGCCGCCGTGCAGACATTAGAATTTGCTGTCCTGCTGCACCGTGTTGAAAATCTGTCCTCTGTCAGCTGAAAATGTCAACACAAAGCTCTAGTCTCTAAGGCATGAAAGTATGTGGCCTAGTGAAATCTCACAAACTGAGGGGAAACAAAACCCAGTGGTAAAGTTTGTAGAGCGTTGGACTTGTTCTGGGGGTGAACTGGGCCCAAATCCCAAGCCCAGCAGGTGGCCTTGGGCAAGTCACTGTGTCTCAGGATAACCCACCTCATGTGATTGTTGTGAAGAGGACCTGCCTTAATTTGAGCTCTCAGGGAAGGGTGGGAGGTGAATCAGTCTATCTGAGCCGTGTGTGCTCTAAGTGCTGAAACTGTACAGCCACTACCAAAGGAATGGGTCTGGTCTGTACTTGTTTACATAAGATGTTCTAAAGCAGGGGACCCCAACCTTTTTGAGCCCGCGGCCACCTTTGGAATTCTGGCACAGCATGGTGGGCACCGCCGCAAAATGGATGCCACAAAATAGCTGCCACCGGAGGTGGAGCCAGCCACGAAATGGCTGCTGCAGCTTACCTTCAGTCACACAGTGAAGATCCTTTCCCTGTGGTGGCAGATGCTGGCAAATCAACGTTTTAAAAAAGTTGCACAACCAATCAGAAGCCTTGCTTGGCAAAAGCCCCACTTCGCCCTGCCCGCTTTCTAAAATACTTGGTGAGTACTAGGAAAGGTATTGGCAGGCACCATGTTGGGAACACCTGCTCTGTAGGGTAACGGTATTTAATTAGAACCGTCAGGCTGTGTTCGTAGCTTCTATGGGTCAGTCAGTGTTGACTGGACATTGTTACATCTGGACATTGCCTTGCTGGATTCTGCCAGAGGTCACCTGATCTAGCACTCTGCTTCCAGATACCTCATGGCTTGTCTGCGCCCCCCCCCCAGCACCTGCTGTTCAAAGCTACACTGCCTCTGAATATGGGAGTTCCATTTTACTATCCTAGCTAATACCTGTTGGCAGACCTATCCCCCCTGTTTGGTCTAATCATTTTTTTAAAACTGCCTAGTGTAGTCTTTTACTAGGTGTCCCCCCAACACTTTCAAGCCTGTTGTAAGGGCTCCAAGCTTTCTTCTGTAAAGCTGAGGTTGCCAGATCTGTGCATTCTGCGCTGAATGCTAATGTCTTATGTAAACCAGTTGTGGGATCCTACTATGCGCATAGCTCTGGGTGTAAGATTGTATGTGAAGGGTGGGGTGGTTGTTGTCACTTGTAAATTTTATCTGTGTGGTTGTTGTCACTTGTAAATTTTATCTGTGTTTAACAGATAGGCTATCAAATTAACGGATAGAAAGTGTTGGTGGGACTTTTCTTCTGCACCTGTTGTAGCGTGTAGAATTCAGCATTGTGCAGGGGGGTTGGACTAGATGACCCTGGAGGTCCCTTCCAAATCTATGATTCTATGATCATTTGGGGTTGGTGCATATCAGGCCCGTAGCCAGTATTTTAAAAAATTTCTTAGGGGGCACTGGCTAATCAAAATAAAGGTAATTTAATCTGGACCCTTGCGCCGGACAGCTGCGCAGGAATACCCGGCTCCTTCCCTGCACCTGCAATGAGGGGCACCAAAGAGGAAGAGCAGTGGGGGGGGGGGGGGGTTGCCAGTAAGTCAGGGGGCCTAGCCTTGAGATGCTCCTCCTCCTCCTCCTCCTTCTTCTTCTTCTTCTTCTTCTTGTCCACAACTGATCCAGGAAGCGTATATGTGGGTCTTGACCAGGGGGAAGGCCTTTAAAATTCCTGAAGAAACAAAAGTAAAGTGGGTAGATTGTACTGCTGTCTCTGGGGCCTACAACTGAGGCCTGTCATGCCCCTGATTTTTGAATCAGAAGAACTTGGGTTGTGGTGTGTAGTGGAGGAACATCATCTGACATCCCAAGGTGGGAAATCAGTGACACAGCTAAAAGTTGTCAGGAACTGAAAACCAGTTCTGTGTAATTCCCCCCCCCCTTTTTGGCTGTTTCCTGTCACTTCTTCTCTCCCTTTTCCCCTGCAGGCCCTATCCAAGAGTTCCGGAGACCCCTCACCAACGCGGAGCGGATGCGGAACCGGAGGATGCGGAACAGGAAGCAGCGCCTGGAGACCAGCATGCAGCTGGTCGAATCGGCTTCGCGGGCCCCCTCAATGCTGCTGGATGCCATGCGGGGGCTGCACAGGCAGGACCTGAAGGCCTTTGACCGGGCCCGGCAAGAGGAACGGCAGCACCGGAAGCAGGAGAGGCGGCAGGACAGGGCCACCGCCCAGCTGATGGTCCACGCTATCGAGCGCTCCCACAACGACCTGGGGGAGTTCTTAGGGAGGCAAACAGTCACCATGGCAGCCATCGCAGCCGTATTTACAGGCCAGAGGTCTGCCCCGCAAGGATCGCTTCCTGGCTACAGTTCTTATCAGGGGCACAGCAACCCGCCTTGGGGCCCCCCAGAGTCAGGGTCCGGAACCACCTTACCACCCACTCACGTGCCTGGTATGTCTTCGGAGCCTGTTACCAGCCCGGTAATTCCCTGCCCGGTGCCTCCTCTGACTGTCCCTGGTGGCATTTGTGACCCAGTCCCCGAACTGCCTCCTCTGGACGGACCGAGGGAGGATTCTACTCCAGACTCACCCACGCCTTCGACCTCTGAGTCCGCCTCACGTCCCCTCAGCACTAGGCCGCACAGAGGAGTGAAAAGGAAGATGTGGGAATGACAAAGGTGGCCTTTCCCTCCAGTCCAAAAGTTTCATTCAGAATTTTCAACATCAGTTTCTCCACAAACAGGGTTGCCAGAATCCCTCTCCCCTTGCCATTTTTATCCAGACAATTCATTTATCTATGCAAAAAGGGTGTAAGCAAAAGCCCTCTGTCAACAGCCAGTGTCAGCTGTAGAATTTTGGAGCCTGTGGGTTTCCTGGGGGTGGGGGGAGAGATGAGAGCTTTGAGCTGGGATACTCCAGTGCCAGCCCATGGATTCATTGGTCCCAGCTCCCTGCTTGTAAAATGGGACTGCCCAGCCTACCTCACTGGGTGGTTGTGAAAGCAAAGATTGTATAGCACTTTGCAAATGTAAATTATTTTACAAACGCCTATTTGACTTCTCATACCTTTCAAGAAATTTGAAAGGGGGCACGGTCTAAATTGAGCTGCGTCAGCTCCAGGACACCAGTGAAACCCCGTGGATGCTGCTGCTACTTTTTAAAAAATTTACAAAACGTTGTACAGGCTTTCTTGGGTTTGCTCTTGGAGCAAGCTTGTTGAGGTGCGTGCGCGTGCATGGAGATCACTTTTATACCCATTTTGCAGATGGGGAACTGAGGCTGAAGTTCAGCTGCGTTTTTAAGCGACAGGCATCTCCTGGTATGCGAATAACACGTTTTTGCTCTGGCATAAGCGCCATAAAAGCTTATGCTGAAATTAAAATTTGCTAGCCTCTTAAGGTGCTGCAGACTTCCTGTTTCTTCTTGCTGCCAACAGCCTAACGTTGCTACCTGTCTGGGACAGCTGCATCCTCCGTTTTTAAAATAACGGCATTGCGGTCGCTCATTTATGAACCTGACTGCGCATTAGGGAAGGGTATGAACCGGCTCACGAGCCAAAATTTGGCCCAAACTTGGGCTTGTTCAGGGCTTGGGAAGACATACTCCCCGAACATTTAGCGAACTTCAGACTATTTGGTCTCTCTCTGCTGGCTCAGCTGTATCGGGCTTCCTCACACCACCCCTTTAAATGGGCTGCACCAGGGAGTTAGGGAGGCAAACACCAGCAGAAAGGAAGGGGGTGAAATGCCCCCTGGGAGGCACTTCACTTCCATATTTAACCTTCTGGCTTTGCTTCCCCCCCCCCTTGAAGCGGCGGGGAGCAAAACCAGAGGGTTAAATGAAGTCCCTTCCCAGGGGGCCCCCCCCCCCCTTCTGTGTCCCAACCTTGCTGGACCGGTTTGGCTCCTGTGAGGCTGGTTCAGTTCAGGGTTCGGTCCGGGGGCCACCACGGTCCCCGAACTGAACCTCCTTTTCCTCATCCATGCCTACTGCACATTCTCCTTCAGTGGGGGAGGAACTTTTTCCTTTCCCATGAGAGGAGTTCCAGGCTCAGTTTTTTTACCTGGTTCACACACCTATGAGAATGAGGTGGCAAAGTCCTCAAGTGGTAGAAAGTATTGTACCCTTTTGTCCTTGCAGGAGAGGAATCACATTATTTGAATGGCCCCCCAGTGATAAAAACACAAATAGAAATCAAGCAGCAAGGGGGTAGACTCTTTCTTCCTGATCTGCTACTTTTCCGTTGGAGGAGAAGTGTTTTTTGTTTTTTTTTAAATGCAGAGGAACGTTCAGAGCCGGGATCCGCTTCCCACTGTCAGAAGTGGCGCAATCCATTTTACCCCTTCCTTCCCACATCCTTCTCCTGCATGTGTGAACCAGGCCTCCTGCTTCATGCAAGCCTGTGAGTTGGACGGAGGGAGGACTTTTTGTAACCCCGACACCGGACATACCCCTTTGAATCCCCTTTTGAAATGCAAGGAAGAAGCATTTCCGTGGCTCCTCCTCGGGTCCCCTTCCCACATACTACCCTGGCACACCTGAAAAACTTGTCTGGTGGGGGGGTTGAGGAAAGAGATGATGAAACCAGTGGACGGAGGAAGGGAGAGAAGCTGCTGCTGCCCCATTTCTGCCTGTTGTAGACATTTCATAGTGTGTGAGTTTCCAGGGAAGGAGTTTTTTTATCAGGCACCATGGAGTCGTTTTCTGGTTCTCTCCCCCTTTCATTTAGGCCTAGATCTCACTGAGGTGGTCAACCTTGTGTCTGGACTCAATCAATTCTAGACCGCGAGTGGCTGTCATGGGGGTGAACGTTCCTTTGTGTAAAAGGTAAAGAATCCCTCTACAGAGAAATCAAGCATGTTGGTGCAGGGAGGAGGGTTCTACCACAGCGGGGTTAGGCTAAAACCTTTCTCCCTAACATGATAGGTTTCTGTGTACAAAGATTTTTTGTGTGTTTGTTCTGCACGGAGGTGAATTCAGTGAAGGGTGCCAGCTCTTCCCACATTTGAAAATTTTAATTTCATGCTCTGTTGTCAATTCCTGTACCGTGACTGAGAGATGTAATTACCTTTTGCCAACCTATGTGATGAAAATTTAAAACAAAGTGTTAAAAAAAAAAATCGCACGAGAGGGCCCCCCCCCCCGCTCTCTGGTATAGCCCAGACATATATTTTTATTACCTCAGTGAGAACTACAGCCTTGTCAGCCCCCTCAGGCATTGCTTCTGGGAGAGAGAGGTTGTGTGTATGTGTGTATAGAGGATTAAATGTAATAAATGGATGATGTGCCCAATGCCGCTATCAACCTGATCCCAGTGGTATCCCTTCGGCAGAAGTTGCCCATAAGGACTTCCCCATTCATTTCAGTACAGAAGGGGGTGACCCACAGGCCCGTTGCTGTGGGAACAGGAATCACCTTCTGCCCTCAGAGCGAATGGAGACTAGGCACCCAGTGTGCATGTCAGAGGGAACGTGGAACTCTGGATTGGGTTGAGAGATGATTGAGGCATGTAGAACATGCACAGCCTAGCTGGACTGAAGCACTGTGAGGGAACTGCATGTTTGCTCATCCCTTGAAAACAAAACCTCCCTGGACATAGAAAACTAGCACTTCAAGGATTCCCCCCCCCCTTTGCCCTTCTCTATAATGACTTTCCATGCACAGAATTTATTTACATGGGGAAGTATTCAAACGTGCACTTTCCTCTGTCTGCAGTCTGAAATGGTAGGATGCGGGAAGGACTATACCAGCAGCTACTCCTGTATGTTTGAATTCATGGTAATGGTGGGACTAGCTTTCAGGCCTCCCGGATTCACACGGGGTTGCCAACTTGTTTGAATGAGCCCTGCTTCTGTGCTTTGAACATCAGCTTGAGCTACCAACTTTGGCAGCTGATCATTTAAATAAAATTAAATAAATAAATAAATAAATAAATGTTTACCTCCAGCTGTGAACAGTTTCATCTGCCAAGTTCTGGGGATCAAGCTACTGTTAAAAGGTGCAGGAGCAATATAGACCTGTGTTTTTTGGGGTCAGTTGGCACCTTTAGGTTGAAGCACAGCTCTGTTCACTGGCTTACACTGGCTGCCCCTTTGAAACTTGTTGAAGATGTGAAACCAACCCTTCCTTCATCAGAAGCAGCAGACTTGAGACAATCGGTTTTTAAAAACTTTTCAGGGTAGCATTTGGGACTCGGTTTACTAAAGACTGCTGGAACACATGGGTTCGCTTTTACGGTTTTAAGAAGTGCTGATTTTTAAATGAACTCCGTGCATACCTGCAAAATGTATTTATTTTGTAAATGTGTTTTGAGCTTTTAAGTATCAGGAAAGGAAGAAGGAAGTGGTTATTGTGGGGTCTGGACCTTGGTGGGGAGGGAGGCGAAGGTGGGAGGAAGCCTGCTTGCTAAAGATGCAGGAAATTTGGTGGCTTTCCCATTTTTCACGTGCACCTTGGACTGTTTGGCTTTCTCCTCTTCTCGTCAAGAAACAAAATGGAGAAGTGGGAGAGGAAAAATGGGCCAGAGATGCGACTTCACAATGGCAGAACAGGCTAGCACAAATCTCGTGTGTGACCTGACAGTTCTACAAACGAAAATGTGGCTTAGATCCAACTGACTCTCTTCTGCTAAGTGAGGAACCTTCCTCACTTAGCCAAAGAGTGTGGCTAGAAACAAACCAGTATCTAGTGCCATTGGTTTTCAAACTATGGTCCCCGGTGCCTCTTCAGAATCTTACGAGAAGTTTGGCACAGCGGATGAGATTCCCTCTGAGACAATCTGTCCTCCATTACCAGTTTTCTACTCATTCTGTGTGTAGCTGCAAAGGAGAGGTTCAGTGTATTTCTACCACCTCAGAGTCATAGCAAAATGTGGGGTATCAAAATTTTAATTAATCATATATAGTACCTCAGACCTAGTTTTCACTGAGGGAGTAAACCACTGTGTGGAAGTTGTATGACCACAGCTGCCGGGCTCACAGGATTGAATGTTTTGCTGTAGAAATAACTTCCTCCACTGAGAAAGCTACCAGGGAAAAGGGCCTAGCTAGGCATTTCCCTGATGTATTAGTTTTCTGGATACAGGTTTCCCCCACCCCTCACGAGTGAATGCTTCATCAAGTGAGCCCACATCTACAGTCTGCAATGACCTATTCAGTCAATGGTTGACCACCTCAGCAAAAACAGGGAGTTTGTATAGACGGGGCCACAAGTTAGGAGCCTATTCCCTGTCCTCTGCTCTGGAATGTGTCCCAGAATCCTTTGCAACATACACACAGGTTCTGTGGTGATCTCACAGGGGTTTCCTCAGCAGACTTGTCAAAGTGAAAGCAAGTGAAGGCGGGAGTTTGAAAACAAACATCTTACACTCTCCCTATACTTGTTCACACATGTCGGGAAAATACTTTTTTGATGTGGCATCGTTATCTGTACCAAGTCTCCTCCAAAGTGATAATCAGAGGTGTCTTCTCCTTGCCTTTTTTGAGGGGGGGGAATTATTACAGTGTTATAATTCCCCAAGATACCAAGTTGTTCAACTGGCTTTTACAATTATGTTTTTCTCCTATGAATTTCCCCCTCCCTCAAGTTTTGGGGATACTCAATAAACTTTGTAATTTTGGCGGTCTTGATTCCCCGCCCCCTTACTCTTTTATCCATCTTTCCCCCAACCTGAT